TGTTTATATAATACTATATGTTGATTTTATTTAAATGTTTATATTTAAAGATTTTTTTTAACCAAGATTGCACTTGAATAATAAAAAGTCAAATACTGCTGTAAAGCTATAAATGAAGCACAGGTGAAAGGGCCTCCAATGTAAATCTCTTTCAACGTCTTTCTTTAGCTATTACATTCATAACTCAAAGTGTACTAACGTTGCTGTTTTCATTATTCCACTATAGATAATCCTGTATTTCTACCTTTTAAGAAAAATTGGGTTTTGCTTCTGCACATCACTTCTACATATTTTTCTAATTGAACTTATTATTGCTAGCAAATCATTATTCATTTCAATAGGATTGTAAAAATATTGCTAAGTGCAATGATATTGTTTAGTATTGTTTAACTTCTCAATTATTCATGAGCTCTCCAACATGACTATAGAAGTCTTCTCATTATGAACAAACATATCAGGGAATTTATTGGGCCTCTCTCTGTTTCTCTTTTTTTTATTGTGGAGACATTCCTCCTGAACTATGGTCTTCTTGCTCCTGTCTGAACTGTATTTTAGGTATTCTTCAACTCTTCTCTCAATACCATCCTATATTTCCCTATTATCTGTCCTCTGTGCTGAGTTTTTTGTTTGTGTCCTTAACCTTATACTACTGCTTTTGTTGTTGTTGTTGTTGTTCCTCATTTTAATAGATATATGATCTGGTAAATTCCTAAGGAAAAGTTCTTAATAGTAATATTTAAAAAAACTTGTAAATATCATAGCATCTTTAATTTACTCTCTGACTTTATTCAATTTGACTAATATAGAACTCAAGGAGGCTGGTAATCATTTCACTATGACATACATCTGATGACAGTGGAGGGTTCTATAAAATCTCTTTTAATTGATAAGAAAAATGTTCCTCCACAAAAGTAGTTAGATTGCAAGAGAAAATAAAAATGATGTGGAATTTCCCTCTGTATGCTGTGAATACCATTGGTTAATGAAGAAGTTGCTTTGTGCCTGTGATAGGGTAGAGCAGAGCCAGGTGGTGAAAACTAAACTGAATGTTGAAAGAAAGAAGGCAGAGTCAGAGAGAAGCCATGTAGCCCTGCCAGAGACAGAATCTGGAAATTTACCTGGTAAGCCACAACCACATGGCAATACACAGATTAATAGAAATGGGTTAAATTAAGATGTAAGAGTTATCCAATAAGAAACTAGAGCTAATGGGCCAAGCAGTGATTTAATTAATACAGTTTCTGTGTGGTTATTTCGGTTCTGGGCAACTGGGAACAGAACAAGCAGCCTCTTACAACAAATTGGTGCTCCAATGTGTGCTAGGTAAATCTACATAGAACCCAGGAGGGCTTGAAAAAAATCTAGACATTAAAAAACAAAGTTTAATTGTATTTTTTTTTTATTGGCTTTGCTTGCTGGCAGCATGCAGCAGCTCCTTTAAGAAAAGTCTTCCCGATTCAGCAGAAGTAGTAAAAAACAAACAAACGAAATAAAACTGCATAGTTTCAAAATGGTGGCTTCCTGGTCCATGCTGCCAGAACAAACTCTGGCTCGTTTTTGGGGCTGATGCCAAGCACCTACTTTGGGTCTAGAAGCTTATGTGCCCACTCAGGGTCGAGAGAAAAGTAGCTGAGACCATGCACAGGACTCAGCACTCCCTACCTGAGCAGGCAGTGGGATCAGTCTGCTAGGTGTGCATATGCAAAAAAACCATCGTGGATTCCCACTGCCATACACAGAGATATTTCCAGGCCACGCAGTGAGCTACTGACAGATATGGCTTTTTGCTCAGATGAAAAGGGTTTATATGCTGCATGGTGCTACCCAGTGTTGAGGTGCTGAGGATGACTCCCACCTGGCAGTCATAGAACCTGCAGTGGACTACCTTCACCATATTTAAAGCCTGAGAAAGGCGGAGCCAGCACCCAGGGCCATTGAGACCAAGCGCTTAGCATTTTAAAAAGTCATCCTGGTTAGAAAAGGATTACAGATATGCAATAAGTACAGATTCAGACATAAAAGGCCTCTAAATGAGACACAGCATGTTTTTAAAATGTACATAGGCTTGGAGAGACAAAAAAAAAAGAATAGACAGCTATAATAAAAAAGTGTTCGTTGTAGAGAGGCCGCTTGTTCTTTCCAGCTGTCCAGCTAGCTTAGACCCGAAATAATCACACAGAAACTAGTTTAGTTAAATCACATCTTGGCCCTTTAACTCTAGCTTCTTATTGGCTAACTCTTATACCAATTTAACCCATTTCTATTTATCTGTATATCACCATGTGGCAGTGGATTACTGGCAAAGTTTTGGCATGCCTGACTCTGGTGGCAACTCCATGGAGTCCCTCTGACTCCGCTTTTCTTTCGTCCAGCATTCAGTAACTATAATTCTTACTTGATACCTGTTTTTGTTATATATAATTTTACTATGTTAAAGTTAAAATCTTCCTTTTTATTTAGACAGATAAGGGGAAGTGATGTGGAATTCCCCTCTGTATGCTGTGAATATCATTGTTAAGAAAGAAGCTGTTTGGGGCCTGTAATAGGGTAGAGCAGAGCTAGGTGGAGAAAACTAAACTGAATGCTGGGAGAAAGAGGGCAGAGTGAGAGAGAAGTCATGTAGCCTCACTGGAGACAGACGCCAGAACTTTGCCCGGTAAGCTACAGCCACATGGCAATACACAGATTAATAGAAATGGGTTAAATTAAGATGTAAGAGTTAGCTAGTAAGAAGCTACAGCTTATAGGTCAAGCAGTGATTTAATTAATAGAGTTTCTGTGTGGTTATTTTGGTTCTGGGCAGCCAGGAATAGAACAAGCAGCCTCCTACAACATAGAAAAGCTGCTGAGGGTTGACACTGACGAGAAAAAGGTAGAGGGAAGAGGACACTGTGAGAACGAGTGGGACGAGTAGAGTACTGAAAGTTATGTGGGTCAGCAGGAATTTTTTGCAGCCTTATTCATTCTGTGAAGCTTTGGGTAGAGTGGGTACAAAGAGTAAACATATAGTTTAATTTAATCAGAGCAATGATTTTCTTAAGCAAAACTCAAAGACAAAAGAGGGACAAGAAATTAAGCATGGAAAAAATCTATCTTCTAAGTCCTGTAATTTCTTAGCAGTCACTTTGATGTAATAAACTTTTCTTCGTGATGCTAGACAATCTGTGAGGTTTTTTTTAAAGTTTTATTCATTCTAAACACTTTGAATATTTTCCCCCATTTATTCTAAACATTAAGTTTCTCACAAGTGAAAAAGTTATTGAGTATAGCAGGATCTGTGGATCCTAAAAGATTTTCCACATTGTTCGTTATACATATAAAGCCTGTCTCCAGAGTGAATTCTTTAGAACATCATGGCAACAAGAACTGCTGATGGCTTTGAACAATACTTAAATTAGTATATGCATTAAAATTCTTTCCAGTGTAATTTTGTGCATGAGGGTTACAGAAACTGGATGTGCTGGAGATTTTCCCACATTACAGATACTGTGTGAGATCTCTCTACTTGTTAAAATGACAAAAACAAAGAAATGGTTTATATACAATGTTTACATACAAAAGGTTTCTATCCAGTGTGAATGTTTCTACTCTTATACCAAGTGAATCTTGGTATAAGACTTTCTGACAATAGTTACACGCATTAGGCTACTGACTAGTATGAAGTGTTTCAGATCTGTTATGATCACAAGAGCAGCTGAAGGCTTTTCCACAATTCTTATGTGTATAAGGCTTTACTCTCAAGTGAACAATTTTATGCTTGTTAAAGTCAATAGAATGAACAGTTTCCACATCTTTTACACACAAAGGGGTTTTCTCCAATGTGATTTTTTTCATGCAAATTAGGACAAGTTGAAATGTTGAAAGTTTTCCTGTAATGCTTACATGCAAAAGCCTTCTCTCCAGTTTGAACTCTTTCATGAATGTTCAGCTGACATTGTGGAGTTTTCCACAATGTGTACATGCGTAACACTTATCTTCAGTATGATCTCTTTCATGAACCTTACGATAGAAACTGGTGAAGTGTTTTACATAATGCTTACATGAATAAGGCTACAATAAAGTGTGACTTCATTCATGTTAGTTATGACTACTGAGATCACTGAAGGCTTTTCCAAGATGTCTACATACTCAAGATCTTTCTCCCGTGTGATTCTTTTCACGAATGTTCAGGTGATTGGAGGAGGTAAAGACTTTTTCACAATGCTTAAATGTACAAGAATTCTCTTTAATATGAACTCTTTTAATGAGTCTTACAGGAACTGAAATTATTGAAGCCTTTTTTTTTTACAGTGCCTACATGAATAAGGTTTCACTGCAGTGTGACTCCTTCCGTGTCTGTTACAATTACTGGAGTTGCTGAGTGATTTTCCACAATGCTTACATACATAAGGTTTTTTTTTCAGTGTGAATTCATGGATGTTCAGATGATGACACCAGAAAAAGGTTTTCCCACAATGCTTGCATGTATAAATCTTCTGCTTCTCTGTAGTGTGGTTCCTTTCATGTCTGTTACACCTATGGGGGTTGTTGAAGGCTTTCCACAATGCTCATGCATAAGGTTTTTCTGTAGTGTGGCTCTTTTCATGTCTGTTACGGTTACTGGGGTGCTTGAAAGCTTTTCCACAATGTTTACATGCATAAGGCTTTTTTCCAGTATGAATTATTTTATGGATATTCAGATGCGTGGGACAGAAAAAGGCTTTTCCACAATGCTTGCATGTGTAATGCCTCTCTGCCATGTGCATTCTTTCATGAATGCTACAAGCACTGGACGTGGTGAAGGCTTTTCCACAATGCTTACATGCATAAGGTTTCTCTCCAGTGAGAATTCTTCCATGAATGTTTCGATGAGAAGAACGGTGAAGTTTTTTCCACAGTGCTTACACGCATAAGGTTTCTCTGCAGTGTGGCTCCTCTCATGTCTGTTACGACTACTGGGGTGGTTGAAGGCTATTCCACAATGCTTACATGCATAAGGCTTTTCTCCAGTGTGAATTATTTCATGGATATTCAGATGACTGGAACAAAAAAAAGGCTTTTCCACAATGCTTGCATGTATAAGGTTTCTCTGCAGTATGGCTCCTTTCATGTCTGTTATGACTGCTGGGATTGTTGAAGGCTTTTCCGCAATGCTTACATGCATAAGCTTTCTCTCCAGTGTGAATTCTTTCGTGAATGTTTCGATAAGAAGAACGGGTGAAGTTTTTCCCACAGTGTTTGCAGACATAAGGCTTTTGTCCAATGTAACTGCTTTCATGACTGTTATGGTGACTGAATTGGGTGAAGACTTTTCCAAAATGTATATAAGCATATGGCTTCTCTCCTTTGTGAGTTACTTTTTGTTTCTCAAAACATGTTGCATATTTAAATATTTGGCCACACTGCCTACAAATGTACCTTGTCTCTTCAACATGACTTTTTTCATGGTTGGTAATGTTACTGGAATCAATGAAGGATTCTTTACAGAGACTACATACAAATTGTTTCACTTCTGTATTGGTTCCTTCATCATTCTGGCCATATGTGTATCTCATTAAGACATTCTCATTGAGTTTATATCCAGTGTGAGTTCTCTCCTGAGGCTGATCAAAACAGAGACTCCTACAGGCTTCATTACATTGTTGATTTTTACAGGGTTTCTCTTTAGAAGTTTCTAGTACTTGAAGTGATTCAGAATAACTGATATTTTTCCAATGTTTCCGATGTGTAAAAGCTTTTACCACAGCTTCCTTATACAGCGGTGGTTTCTCTCTAGTTTTTTCTCTGAGATACCCATGTAAGGAGAAATGACCAATACTGTTTCTTACATGCAATGGAGTTTCATGAGTCCTTACCCTGGAAGGCATGTCTTTATTGATCATACTCTCTGGAATAGGTTGCTGGTTTTTATCACACTCAGTATGACATTCATATCCATGGTCTTTCTCAATTGACTGAATTCCCATATTCCTGCTGAGATCTTTAAAGTCCTCTTCAACGTTTTCTTCTAATGCCTTTTCTATGGAGACCAGGTTCAAAAATGTTTCCTTCATCACATCGCTGTAGAGCTTCTTTTGACTAGAATCCAACACAGCCCATTCTTCTGAGATAAAATTCCCTGCCACATCCTCAAAGTTTACTGGCTCCATTTCATATTTCTGATGTGTCTCAGTAGCCTCCCAAGAGGCCTGCAGTCAGCAGAACACACAGACGCCTAAAACAAGTCCTCACCAATCTGTGAGTTTTTTAAAAGTGGAATTTCATTTTGGTTTATTTATTTCAAAATTTATACCCTATGCTTTATTTCTGATTATGTTACAAAAGTCCTCTTAGTTGATCTAAGTTTCTTATTTCCTTCTTGCTTGTCTCCCATTTTTTTTTCTGGGAAATTTCCCAAAACTTATCTTTCAACTCCTCTGATGAATTTTTTTGTCTTCAATGTTCCACTTAACTTTTATGATCTTGTTTCCAGTCACCAGATACCATATTTTGACCTCATGTATGCCATCAGTGCCCTATGTTAGTCTCTGAGAAGTTTCAGTATGTGTGCTGGAAGTGGGTTTTCTTCTCTCTGTGCTCTGTCTCTGTGCCTTGTTTCTCTGGGTGCCCCCCTTTTTTACTTTGTCTTTGCTCCCATTTGTCATGTTAAATGATTCCTTCACATCTCTGGTGGCTGATAATCTGTTCAAATGAGCTTAATGATATGTGGATTCATTCCTCTAAGGATGATCTGTCAGAACCATGAGTTGTAGGGCTTTCAACACAGGCATCCTCTCTTGTCCTGATGCACTTCCCTAGAGGGGATACTTTCCATATCCCATCTGAAAGTATTTGCCAAGTCTATATTTCTGTGGTATTCTGAAAACCAAGAAGAGGGAAAGGAACAGAGAGGTTTACAATGTTCTCTGATATCACATGACCATTTCTTCCCTGACTTCAATTATGCTTTGTGTCTCCAAGTTCAAAACTTACCTGACTTAAAATTCCTAGCAGCCTCCTTATTGCTTTTGTCTAAATTTATATTGAACAATTCTACCAATAACTCCTCAGTAATCAGAGGCTGGGGTGAAAACGTGCTAGCTCAAAGAGGTTGAGGAGTAGGTAGTTGGCCTTCCTTCTTAACCAGCTTCTCTGGAGTTTTTTCCATCCTTCCAATCCAAAAGGAACAATCAAACTCTCCTTCCCTTTCTTCCTGTACATTTCTCTGTCTTCCTGACTCCCTCTTTACCCTCTATGACTACTTCCTGTCAACTAGCTGCTGCCTCTGCCTCCTGACCTCAGCCTTTTATTTAATTAACACATTCTCAGTGTACACAGTGTGATCAAATATCCTGTAATAGTTCCTCCTTTTTGGCTCAATAAAATATAATGGTTTTAACCTTAACACAGTGAAACTATATATAATAAGAACAATTATCAGATGAGAATTACATTTACAATATTGAGTCCATTTGTATTTGCTAAATTTGGTAACAAGAAAAACTGTAAAACTCTAACTACTTAGTCTTCACCCAATCAGAGACCTGAAAATGAGTAAACAGAAAGGGCAGAACAATCAACTTCAAAAACCACAGAAACAACAGAGACATCTGGCTGCCTGGTCAATCACTAAGGTGCCTCTGCAACACTGGAGAATCAATCCTGGGCCTATAGGCCCAGAATATCTGACAAACCTTTCTGTGTAGCAGGGATTTTGAAGGACTGGCCTACCTTATCTTGGCAGTTGACATGCTTTGTGACCTTCTTATCCAATTTGGACAGGGTACTGTCAGCAGTCGAAACAAGGGCAGTTTCTTGCCCAGTGGATAGCTTTGCCACATTTGAAGCAAGCTCCATATGAAGGTTCTTTGATGCCCATCATTTTTTTAAAAAATAGATTGTTGCTTCCAGGGGCAGATATGTCTCACTCTCATAAAAAGTCAGGGAGGGAAGCAGAGAAAAATGTAGAGCTCAATAAAAAAATTTAAAACGTCTTATGTTATTAAAACATTTTAAATGCCATATTCTTCAGATCTCAGGAACTGTTCGAAGACCACCTATCTAAAATACATGAGGCTAAATAAAGCTTATTTCTGTCTACATCTAAACATTTAGTACAAGTTTGTTATTTTAGTTATCCTAAACAGTTTGTATTACAAACTTTATATTACAATTTTAAATGAGTTGCATAGGTACAATATCTTACAGTATGTTGTAAAATAACCTTAAATTTGTATCAATATACAAAACTCCATACCAACGCAAAATGCTTGAAACAAGTAGTTGCATTTCAGTTTAAATGTAGATTCAATAATCAATCCTTTTATCCTATCATTTGGTTTTCCGAGAGAGTTTGAGTACAGAGGTGATTAAGTGAGTTATAGAAGGGAAAGGGAAGGGGGAGCAACACACACACACACACACACACACAGAGAGAGAGAGAGAGAGAGAGAGAGAGAGAGAGAGAGAGACAGAGAGAGAGACAGGAGAGAGACAGAGAGACAGAGAGAGACAGGAGAGAGAGAGACAGAGACAGAGAGAGACAGAGAGAGACAGAGAGAGAAGGATTGGGGAGAGGCAACAGCCATCTCTTCTGAAGAGGGACAGGTAGTAACCTATCATTTCCATATCACCATTTGCACCTTTTTTAAAGATAAAAGAGAAAGAAGGATAGAGGAATTGAAAAGAAAGACAAAAAGAGAAAAAACAGAAAGAAAAAACTCCCTTAATCTAGCCTCCTTTGTTTAGTTACCTCCTTGATCGTGACCAATAACAACTTGCAAACAACCCCCTAAACAATGACAAACATCCATAACCCACCAAATGATCAAAAGTCACCCATCCCACCTCTCACGAATGTGGGCATAGTGTTCTTTTTTTCAATATTAAATGTGTCATCTTTAATATCTGATTAGCGAGCAATAAGCTTGAACTCGGTGTTGGACTGAGCATTTAACATTGTTATTATCCCCACTTGATAGATATGGAATCTGTGATGCAGGTCAGGTAGCTGGCAAGGGTCCTGTAGAGTCGCGAAGATGGTTGGGTCTTCTGAGTGCACAGCCTCAAGAGTGGGCTAGGCCAGGCCAACTGACCTTTTCCAGGGAGTTGGCTGCCAAGGGCTTGCCTTGCTCTTCCTGGTTCAGTGACAATTGGGAGACATGGTTCTAGTGTGGACACTCCCAATTTGGGATGTGAATCTATACAAGTCCCTTCCTTAGTCAAGTCTTGGTGACTTCACTCCTTAAACAGGAAGCTGAACAAGACTGTGAGTCCAGCATTCCACCCTCTTTAATGTCCCAGGCTTTTCCCTACCTTGGGATGTCTCTGGGATGAGACATGCCCTCACTTTCTGCCATCTTCTGCCAGTCTGTCATAATCACTGATCTTTTTTATTGTTTTTAATTGAGCTATATAGTTTTCTATGCTCCCCATCCTTCCTCTCCCCTCTGTTTCAACCCTCTTCCATGGTCCCCATGCTTCCAATTTACTCAGGAAATCCTGTATTTTTCTACTTCCCTTGTAGATTAGATTCATGTATGTCTCTCTTAGGGTCCTCTTTGTTGTCTAGGTTCTCTGGGATTGTGAATTGTAGGCTGGGTTTTCTTTGCTTTATGTCTAAAAGCCAGTTATGAGGGAGTACATATGATAATTGTCTTTCTGGGTCTGGGTTACCTTTCTCAGTATGATGTTTTCTAGATCCTTTCATTTGCCCACAAATTTCAAGATGTCATTACTTTTTTCTGTTGTATAGTACTCCATTGTGTAAGTGTACCACATTTTCCTTATCCATTCTTCAGTCAAGGCGCATTTAGGTTGTTTCCAGGTTCTGGCTATGACAAACAATGGTGCTATGAAAACAGTTGAGCACCTTTGGGTATATACCCAAAAGTGGTATTGCTGGGTCTTGAGGTATGTTGTTTCCTAATTTTCTGAGAAATCACCATACTGATATCTAAAGGAGCTGTACTGGTTTGCACTCCCAACCACAATGGAGGAGTGTTCCCTTTACCCCACATTCTCTCCAGCATAAGTTGTCATCAGTGTTTTTAATCTTGGCCATTCTTACAGGTGTAAAATTGAATCTCAGAGTTGTTTTGATTTGTATTTCTCTAATGACTAAGGATGTTGAGCATTTCCTTAAGCATCTTTCAGCCATTTTAGATTCTTTTCTTGAAAATTTTCTGTTTATGTCTGTGCCCCATTTTTATTAGATTATTTGTTCTTTTGATGACCAATTTCTTGAGTTCTTTATATATTTTGGAGATCAGCCTCTGTCTGATGTGGGGTTGGTGAAGGTCTTTTCCCATTCTGTAGGCTGCCATTTTACCTTGCTGACCATGTCCTTTGCTTTACAGCGGATTCTTGGTTTCAGGAGGCCCCATTTATTGTTTCTTTCTGTGTCTAGCTACTATTTAGGAAGTGGTCTCCTGTTCCAATGCATTCAAGTGTACTTTCCACTTTATCTTCTCTGAGGTTCAGTGTGGTTGTTCAAGTCTTGCTGTTGTAGAGCCACCAGGTTTTTTTGGTGTCATGTTGCTCTTTGTGGTGTTGAGTGTGTTCTTACCTTGTCTATTCATCTTCTCCTCTGATTGATGTAGCTGGAGCCATGTCTCTGGTGATCAATCTTCTAGGTGCCAGTGAATCCAAGGCTCAGATGGTTGCTCCTTGTGGTGCAGGCAGGGCCATGTTTCCAGTCACCCCAGAGGTTACTTGGTGTTACTGAAGGTAGCTTAGCACTCCCAGGGGTCACTCTGCAATCCCTGAGGATCTTTTTGGGCCTACTACCACAGAGGTTGCTTGCTTGTGCCTGCTTTTCCGGATGCCACTGATTCACGCCCATCCCACCAAAGTCTCTGTCTGAAGCCTGCTCCCTTAGTGGTGGCTCCCTTGTATCTTTTCCTTTTGCCTTGGGCCTGCTCTGGTGGAGGTCACTGGCTCAAGCTCCTGTGGAGGTTGCTACCTTGGGCCTGCTCTGGCTGAAGTCAGGCCTGTTTCCACAGATGTTCCTGTCTTGGGCCTGTTCCCTTGGAGGTCCCTGACTCACATCTGGTCCCTCAGAGGCCTCTAGCTCAGGCCTGCTCCTTAATGGTCACTCCCTTGTACCTGCTCCTAATAAATAAAGGGTAATTTTGACAGAAGTAGGTATGAATGGAGGGCCAACTATGTG